TTACTCTTTGATTCCCTACGGGAAACTTCCCCATGGTGACCAGCAAAAAAGAAAAGAGGCCACATGAAGAAACCTAGCTGACAGCCCCGGAGGAGGCAAGTTTATTCCTCAATCATTTCTCAGAATTTATGAGAAATAGAAAAGTCAACTGATGAGCATTCTAGAGCCAGCTGGATGGTTTTACAAGCATTGGCCCTCTCATCTCAAGACAAATGTATTATTAGCTCACCTTACAAGTACAGCCGTGAAGCTCAGAGTTCAAGCAGCATCCCGGAAAATATATCAATAAGTAGTGGGCAAGGAAGTGAGACTCTGGTCTCCATATCTCCTACTCTTTTCTCTATATGACCTTGCCAAAACATTCATTTTTATCAATTTCCAGAAGTAAAAGTTAGGCAGTAACCTATTATTAGAAGCATTATGTGTAAGGAAGTATAAATTCAAATATATAATCTAAAAAGACAGTAAATAAAGATCCATGGGTTTGTTTGCACACCAGCTCTACACTTGCATTGCTTTTGCTAAGTGAGAACTCATCCTTTGAATGCACACTTCAGCTTAAAATAGTTTTTGTTAAGCCTATCATCCTTGCTATGAAGTGCGAGACAAAATTTCATCCAGTGACTCATGATAAATCTTATGCACAAAAACAAATCGCTACATTCAAAATACTACTGTAAGTAGAATCACATCCTCAAGAGATTTGCTAATTTTTCTCTCCTCTGAGGTCTCAGGAAAGATGAGGGTAACCAGTTCTGTGACCTGTCTCTAAGGCTCTTGGCATACTGACGTTTCTGTCAATTTATTATTTTATGTGTCTGTCAACATGGAGATTAAAAGGCAAGTGTGGACCTACACTGCTTCAGAACTTTATAAGGTTAAGGAAATTTAGACAATGGAATACGTTACTGAATCACATTAGAAAGATTTTTTTTATTTTCCAACAGGCTGAGCTGTCATTTGCCTGGAATGGTTCAGGACAGTTCTGCCTGCAGGCAGGACTATGGACTCATTAACCTCCTAGCCCTGCAACTCTGTCAATCTTAATTCTCTCCAGGGTTTCAATCAGATATAGCTGCCGCTAGTTTCATTCTGGTTGGCTTAGCGTGGCTCTGTGCTCTTGCAATTTTCTGTATTGCAGAGAGAAAAACCATCTTCAGTATGTGTTTGTTGCAGTGTGCCTGGTGGATCTCTCTTTACCAGAAGCCTCAGCAAAAATTGTACTGACAGATGAGTGCACTGGTCTATTGAAAAGTGCCATGTGCCAAAAATAGAAGATTCTTATTTTTCTTTGCATACAGATAGATGAACTCATGGCTGCGGTGCTCTCAGGAGGCCTAGGAGTTGACTTAGTCTACAGGAATGACTGTGCTATTTTTGCACTTTCCCTCACATTATTTCTCAAGGCTTGAGGGAATTTAAATGTGACTTATTTGGCAATGACAAGTCTCTGTCCCTCCGTACCTCCCAAATGAGATCATTTACACAAAATACTTCATCACAGCTCATTCTGTTTCTTCAGAAAGAAGCAGTGTAACTTAAATGGAATCTGGATTTTGTGAAAGGAGAATTTCTCCCCACCGTGGAACTGATTATTTTTTAAGTCACTTAATTTCATTGTATTGAGATTAAAAACTCAACATAGTGGTTCTAACAAAAGCAGCAAAATCTCTCAACTGTTACTCAGTTTTTGCCATGAAATAAAATTCTGAAGCAAGAAAACATATGAGTACACATAACTAGTATCTATTATCCCTTATGACTGTTATGTTTTTAATGCAACAGTGAAATTTGCCTGTTTTATTGTGAAAATCTATTAAAATGGAAACAATAATCAATTCAAGCCTAAATAAAAAATGAACATAAATTCAGTAAATACAGCCAGAAGTATTTGCCTCTTTAAGAATAAGGGTCTCGTGGAGAGGTGGGAATTGTTTACAAGCCTAGTACTTTACATAGTGAATAATTAATAAATATATTTAAAATTGAGTCATGAACTCTTCAGGAATTCCTGTTTGGAAGCCACTGTCAATATGAAAGAGTTCTCTGTGAAGGTAGTTGTGTGTATGACCAAATATGTTTAAATGGAAATGACAACTTTGAGCAAATTAAATTTAAACCAAAAATTTTTGATGTCTATTTCAAATGAGAGAATTGTACAATAATTAAGTTTTGCTGTTATCATGCAGTAAGTACTGGTGACTGCTGATTTTTGTTTTGTCTTTGTTTCTTACAGAATCTGTAGGGTGGTAGAGTCACTGCCTACAAATCAGAATTTGTAGGGTGTTTCTAATGAGAGTATAACAGAAAAATCAAATTATGTTTCTCATTTAGTCAAGCTAAAAAATGTAATTTAAAGTATAAATCAGGCAGTCTTTAAAAAAAAAATTACTGAAAGCCAAAAGAGAGGCAATCAAGTATAATGACAGATCGAGAATCAAGGTGTGTACTGTGTGTTCTGGTTTTCGGTTTATTAGATATGTGATCTTGGTAATTTATTGCTTGGTTTCTTTTTTGTTTATATTGGAAGGCTGACATCAATAAAACATTTTAAGAAGTATACAGCAAGAAAGAAAACTGTTAGTGTGGCATATAATGGATGAAGGATGGAGGCTAAATTAGATGTGATCTCTACCCCCATGAAGAATAAAATTAAGTGAGGGAACAGTCATTAAATAATTAAATAAAACTTTTAAACTACAACTATATTGTGATAAAGGAAGATACAGTATAATAAGTAACACAACTCTAACATCTCTAAGTGCATATAATTTCTCTCTACTATAGGGTAAGGAAAGTCACACTGCACAATGCTACTTTCAAAACCTTTGGTATTTCTATGGTAAATTGTATCCTTGTAAGTGATAAAAAGTATGATTTTATATCAGCAACCTTATTTTGAGCAGGCATTGTTGGAATAATTTACTTTTCCATTTTTCTTCTCATTTTCTTTATGACCAGTTAAAACTTTCAAGACAAGAGTCTTAATTCCATTTCGCTACATTCCTTAAAGCACAAATCTCTATGATGCTCCAGGGACCTTTGGATAACAAGTACTTCTGGGAAGAAATGAAAAGACCAACTGCCAGTGTTTGTTGAAAATAGGCTCAGTTTTTCCTCACATGATGCAACAGATGGCCTTGACAGACTGATGGGTGGGAAGGAGGAAACCTACAACCCCATTTACCCAGTCACTGTTGTCCCATCCTTCTCTGCCATGTTGGACTTACATATTCATGTCTTTTCGTATAATCCTCTCAGCTATCTAGAATTGAACTAATTTGGATAAACTACGAAAATATTAACCAGAACAGACAAAACTTATTTTATTATACTTTATTGCACACTGCAGATTTTGCATTTTTTAACCAATTCAGATTTTCTCTAAACTTAGATCTATTTGTGCCATTTTTCCCTACAGCTCGGATGACTGTTAGCATGTTTTTAGCAATAAAGCATTTTAATTATGGCATGCGCACCATTTTAAAGGCATACTTCTATCATATATAGACTTAATAGACTACATACAGTATAAACAAAATTTCTATATGCATATGGAAACAATAAACATGATTTGCTTGTGATATGTACATGACTGTTGCTGTCTAGAAGTGAACATGTTGTGTTTTCAAAGTATGCCTGTACTCTTAAAACACAGTTGCTATTTTGGCACTGTTATGGTTTAACTCTAGATGTGCCCTCACAACCTCATGTGCTCATTGGTGAGGTTTTTGGGAGGTGACTGGGTCATGGGTGTGTGATACTGGATTAGTCCACTGATGGGTTTGTATCTAGCTGGGTATCATGCTGGGCGTGAAGCCTGGAAGGAGGTGGATCACTGTGGGCCTGACCTAGAGAATGTCCCTCATTTTCTCTTGATATTGGTGCCACATCCTGCCTGCCATGCCATGGGCTGTTTTTCTTCTATGTGCCACCTTGTCTTGGAGGCAGCTGATTATGGACTAAAACCTCTACAAAATCTGAACTAAAATAAATCCTTCCTCCTGTAACTTCTGGGTGTCAGGTATTTTTTCCTAGCAGTAAGAAAGTAACTAAAACAGGTTTTAAACACAAGCATTAAAAATGCATGAACAGATTTTAAATTCATACTTAAATGAACGTGGGCTTGTTCTTCAGACAGCTTATCTAGCCAAAGATTTAAGAGAAAGCTGTCAAATGGAAATCAGACTAATTGCTCTGATTCCTTTAAAAATTTTTTAAGAATTCTCAAAATCAAACACAGTTATTTATTTTTAAAACTTGAATTGTGTTATCTTACTTTTAGACAAAGTTTTGGTGGTCTCTTCCAGAATGCACAGCAACCAAATACTTTATCTTTCTTCTTCTTGCATAAACATGTATGCATGAAGAGGAAATTGGGGATTGACCTTTAAGTTGGAATACACCTACGCAGGTGCAGGCAGCCGCCTGCAGGGCAGGACTGCTGTGGTTATACAGTAAAGCGTTAAAGTATTTCCACGGTGTGGTACTTGAGTACACTAAAAATAGGCAACCCTTAACTATACTGCAGTTGAAGTCTGATTCCTTTAAAAATTTTTTAAGAATTCTCAAAATCAAACACAAAGTTATTTATTTTTAAAACTTGAATTGTGTTATCTTACTTTTAGACAAAGTTTTGGTGGTCTCTTCCAGAATGCACAGCAACCAAATACTTTATCTCTCTTCTTCTTGCATAAACATGTATGCATGAAGAGGAAATTGGGGATTGACCTTTTAAGTTGGAATACACCTACACAAGTGCAGGCAGCCGCCTGCAGGGCAGGACTGCTGTGGTTATACAGTAAAGCGTTAAAGTATTTCCACGGTGTGGTACTTGAGTACACTAAAAATAGGCAACCCTGAACTATACTGCAGTTGAAGGACAAGATAAAAATAGGAAATTAAATTGAAAAATAATCGTATAAATAGAGTACTAAGATTAACAAGTCAAACTACAGATCTGGATTCACTAGTAAGATTGGTTATTTTTATTGAGATCAGGAAATAGGATAGTACTTAAATATTTAAGAGAAACATTGGTATAGAAGTATATTTTGAACTGAATTATATTTAAAGTGATAACTTACATAATTTGTTTTTTAAATCTTTTTGACTGAGATATTCCTTTATATTACTAAATCGTATTTCTCTCTCCCTCTCACCCACCCCACCTCATAGTATATGCTGGCTTTAATATACACAAATGATTTTACAGACGTAGCAAAAATACCTTAGATGGAGTGTCAATAAATTATTCAGAATTTCATAGCTTTGGTTTTGTATTCAATTCCTAATAAAGAGTAAAACTAGTAAGAGCCTAGAACATGGAGGTAATTCGGTATTATTTAACATAAATTCTGCCACTATAGAGAGTACTGAGTGGCTTACAATTCTTATCTTTTTAAAAAGACTAAATTTACAATGCTGTCTTCAAGATTTCTGAGATGGAAAGCCTATCCTTGATTAAACTTTTGGTCCTGTTATTTTGGTCGTTTTTAAAACGTCCTGTTTTACCACCAAGATTATTATGAATTCCTAACCGTACTTCACTTTTTCCTGTCCTTTCTGCAATAGCACTGCCCAGCTCTTGCTGGTTATTTTTGAGGTGTGGCTCTATGCTGACTCATGACTCTAGTTCCTTCCTGCTGACTGCTGGATAGAAGCCTCTCGTCTGCATTTACTACCAATGGTGAGCACTGGTTAAAATCCTTTTCTGTGATTATAAACAAGTCTGTGTATACTATTTAGTAGATGTCACCTATACCTAAGCAACTTTTGAGGCAACATGGCAAAGATCATTTAATTTACTAGACACTATAAAAATGATTATCCCTGTGTATTCCATCAACCATAAGAGGTTTTGGTTTTGCTTCACATTTTTGATAATATGCTATTTTGAAACTTACATTTCTGTTTATTTGAAGTGATATTCTCATGTATCTGAAACTAGCATTTCCATGATTATCAATAAAGAATATCTTTTCCATATATCTGTTGGCCTTTTGGGTTTCCTATCACTATTTTATAAATTAATCCTTCTATATGCTGAAAATATTTGGTTACTTGTGGCTTAAGTTTTTGCCTTTATAGTTTCACATTTCAATGGATTTAAATGCACTGTAGCTTTTTACAATTGTGCCTTTGTTTTACTCAAAGAATTTTCACTTGCTGAAATCTGTAAGTATTGAATATATTCTTCTAAGCTTTAAGATACTACTTTTAAAATTAAGTCTTTAATTCTATTCAAATGTCTTTGATTATGGCTTGAAGCAGGAATCCAAATTTATTTAAGGGGATAGTCAATTATACAAGTAGATTTTCAAAAATTCTCTTTCTCTATTAGTTTATAATGACGTAGGTATCCATGATAAGGGTCTTATTCCAAGTCTGATTCAATGAAAACAGCAACAACATTTTGCACTAAAAATATCCCTGCCACATACCAGAATTGTGTGAAGCATTTTTATGTGATTCACCCACAGATTTTGGAGTCATAAAGCCAGGTTTAAAGGTATACTGGGAAGCCCTAATAAACAGCAGACCTTAATATTACTTATTTGTTTATTGGCAGAAATGCATCCTTCCGGTGAGGTATAAAATACGCTGGTTGCCATAAACTATGCACTTTGGAAAAATAAAGCACTCCAAATATACAACTTGCTTTTATTAAACAGGAGGGGAAAAAAATCACATTTTTTAAAGAGGCAGATATTCCAAAAACTTTAGGGAAAACCAACTTAATGTCAGCTTGTTTGAAAAAATATTTTAGAATAAGTGAAAAATTAAATTATTGAAGTAGAAAGGATACTAACAAGCTCTAGACCTTGCCAGATTAGGTGCTGTGCAACTCAACCATTTGAGTTTTCAGTAAATATACAGTAAATCAGAATAATAGCATCTCAACAACATCTTGACTATTTTATCATTTCACCTGAATTAAACCAGGATTTCTGAAACTTCCAAATAGTAAAGTTTTCCAATATGAATATACACCAACTATTCCTCTCTACATATCAAATGTGAAATAATTGTACAATATCTCAATATTTTCACAGGAAGATTTTTAAGGCTTCTGGCACATAAAATAAGTAATATTTCTGTCAATGTCATTATTATAAACAGAAAATATTTAAAATTCTCCTTGTGCAACTTAAACTCTAACGATTACAACATCAAGTGTTCATGTTAATAAAGTATTAAAATATGCTTCCTCTAAATTTGACACTGATTTGTAATTATAAAAAGAACAGACAAGCTAAGTTTTGTATACTAAATGATTCATCAATGAAAAAACTCAGCTTTATATACTTGATATCACTAATTTTCTAGATCATTCCTTCAGCACAAAACAGCCTGAAATGTAACATAAACATTTCCAATTAAACTAACACTGAGGCAGCAAATGTCAGGTCTGTTTGCTGGTATATGTGGCACAAACAGAAGTCTATAAATCTTCATTTATACTTTTAAGTCACCACTGTAGAGTGTGTCATCAATAAAGAGTAATTATTTGTCATTTGAAAAAAAATGAAAGTCATTTATAGCTGTGTTAAAGTTCTAAAGCAGCATATTTAATCTTTAAGGCAAAAAAGATCAAAAATTATTATAAATTATAAATTCTAATAATTCTTCTTTTGGCATTAATAGCCATAGCATAAAATCTCAGACTTTAACAGATAATATATTAGTGTACATCTGAATATACATTTGCCCACATTCCCCATTGGCGTGAAGCTGGGTCAGGAGGTGCAAGCAGGAAGCACAGTGTACGGGTGACATTAACAGCCTTCCTGGGCATCGGAGGACAGGGATTGGCTAAGTCGTGACCTTCCATTCACAGATATCGTATTCGATGGAACAGTAACCTAAGTGGAACAAAAACACTTGTATTCATCAATTTGAACTGGGACAGCTGTCTACTGTTCAACAATTACCACATTTTAACTTCTGCCTCATTGTAAATACTAACATTCAGTATTTCCCATTCAATAAATTACAAATAATTAAGAATAAATGTTCACCCTACCAGGAAATGAAAAATGACAGAGTTGTTATTTGCACAACAAACAAGTTAAATGACCCATTAACACATCTTGGCTTTATAAAGTTACCAAGTCATCATAAATGACAGCAACACAACAGACTGCAGGGCACGTTGTGACAGAGCATTGTTAGCAAGATTAATTCTGGCTCTCCAGAAGTACTTTGGAAAATGTAAAAAAGTCAAGTAAACTTCACAATGCAATGATTTTTACCACTTTTATAAATGTACATTAATTTGAAGTTCCTCTCTTAACGATCCCTTACTTGTTAAAACATATGGCTTTTTTAAATGATTTCATATGAAAGAGTAAAAAAAAAAAAAAAACAAATCTATGACCACTATATCAAAACAAACGTGGTATGAAAAGGTGCTTTTGTGATTTTATCCAGTAAATACTCCTCAAAGTTTTATAGCAGTCTTCTATTTGCAAACTATCAGTGAATAAAAACACTAAAAATTTTTCTAAGCAGCATGAAGTTTCAGATTAAAAAAAAATGTGGACATTGAATTGTAAATATGTATACTTTGAAATAGTAAAGTTAGAATTTAAAAAATTTTAAAAACGTATAGATTATAATGATAATTTAATTACAGAAGCAAACCCTATAGTCCTATAAAACAAAAACCAAAATACAAATGACGACAGATTCTTCTATCAACAAAGCAAAAACAAAAATTGGCAAATTTAGTTCAACTTTAGTTTTCTTGTGCTTTTATTTGTTGCCTTTTACTAAATGAAAATATGATCACCTACAATAATGAATTTCCTTGATGGCCTCATGAATCCAGGGTACAGCAGAGTGTTGGTCACTGCATGCCTGAAATAATATGGCTAAGAAGAGTGACTGCCAGGGGCAGGGAACTCATGGCCAGCCCGTTTAGTTCCCCTACGGGATTCCTTCCAGAGTGCAGCCACCAAAGGACAGGTAATGACTTTTCATTATATGACCTTGTCCCCAAAGTGTCGGTGTGTAGAACTATTTTTGTCATTGGTACCCAAGTTTCAGTTTTTGCTATTCTTTATACAGCAAAACAGAACATTTATTTTATGCATCTAAAAATCCTGACAGCTCTAAATATCTAGAGCCACTTGTTGTAGCATCCTATATGGGGTCCAGCCATATAGGATCTACAAGCCATGTCGCATTCACCCAGTCACATGTCATGTAGTCCTGAAAAGATGGTATGCATGGGTATGGAAGAAGATGGGATGATGGGCCAGGGATGCAGCCCAGCGGCCAGCACCTGCCTGGCAAGCGCGAGGTTGTGAGACTGATCTCCAGTTAAAAAAAAAAAAAAAAGATGTGTAGGTTGTGAAGGATTCAAGATATGTATGTTCAAAGATATGTATGTTTATGAAGGATTTCGTCGGGATTCTGTTTTTATAAGCTAAATATGTTTATGTATTTAAAAAGTGGTCTGGAAGTTGACACGAGTCTCTCAAGAGAAGTTACTTTGGGAGGACAGTGGCATTTCCTTTAATTTTTAGAAAATTTGTAGACTAAACTTTTAAACACACGACAGTATTATTAGATTATTCCATAAATTCTGAGGACAGAGATTGTGTCCACTTTGGTGCCCCTTTAACCCACTGTTTATTTCAGTATTTGGCACAGTGAAGTTTTTAATGAGTATTTCTTGAAATATGGTAACTTTTTACACATATTTCAAAAATAACAAAACACTGAATTCTTTGAACAAGGCACACATTGTACTTATAACAAAGATTTTTTAAAAATGTTTAATAATTTAGTGAAGTATCTACTAGCTGGTCATCTATCCTTGAGGTTTAAAGAGTTTTCAGTAATATGCACAAACCTTTAATTATAGAACTATTAAACTTTTCATCACTTATTTCTATTTCAAAAACATACACAATCATCAACCCAAAATCTTTTGTTCAAATTCAAACCCAGAAAATATACAAACAGTGCAAGTGAACAAACAAAACCAGCCAGCAAGTTTCTGAGTGACTTATATAGCTTTTTTTTTTCTTCCAAGTTTCTATCTAACCAGATAAATTCTGCATTCAAAGGGTACACTTAATATCAAGTGAAAAATCTCATTCATCAGTTTATTTTCAGACTTTAGCTTTACAAACTATTCTATTTGCAATACTGCAACTACCCAGGTTTTACTAATTTAGGCATTATAAATACTGAAGGCAGCCAAAATATTTCTTGGTCCCACAAAGGCCAATTATAATGGATTAATCGGATTCTCTGTAAATAATGTGCTGATTCATACACAAATTTTAATACTACAGATGATTTATAAACTATTAAGCTAGCTAGATTTAATAGTGCTTTACAAGGTAAGACTGATGTCGGTGACTACATGGGAGTTGGTTGAGGCTAAAATTTGGAAACATATTTTAGAAACATAAAAAAAGAACCAAGACATGTTCTTGACTACACTTATACTACAGCAATCAAGTAACTGTTCTAACATGAGCCAACCATTATAGTGAAGGTTAATTGCTTGGGTATGAACTAGAGCCTTAAGGCAAGTTAGTATCTGGAGTTAAACTGAACATTCAGATGCCAAGTTATAGACAAAACACAGAGCCAACTTTCTGATGAACAATCTAAACCTGCTGTCAAAATCACTGGAGAATTTATGTGGCAATATAATTACTGTTCTACAAAAGAAATGCCAGGATTTAAAAGAAACTAGGAAAAAGTCTTCAGTACAGGACAAAAAATGTAGAACTAAAACATTAAAAAAAAAGAATCTGCCTCTGTCCATTTTATTAGCTTTTGCAATTTTGGGAACAGAATACATGTGCAGCAAAGTGCACTGAACATTAATATGCAGCCTGGCAAAAGCAAACAAAAATAGATAATAACCCACCAGCCTGGTCAAGCTCTTCTTAAGTTCTCTTTATTCAAATTTTGATATTTTACCTAGAATCTTTACTAATTGGGTTATTTTAGATACATTTGCATTAAGGTAACATTTGGTTTCTAAAATTTCTCATTAAATTAGATGTCTATTCTATCCCAGTAAATCCTCAACAATCTTCTCTCTCCCTCTTCTCTGTCTCTTTCTCCTCTCCTTTTCTTTATGAAAGGACTCATAATCGTAATTTTTATAATTACTTTGGTTTTTTATTTATTACTTATGTGTGTAGTAGGGCTAAGGATTGATCGTGGAGCCTAATTCAATGCCAAACATATTCACCACCACTGACCTACCCGCCAGGCACATCGTTGCTTCTAAAAATAACGGGGTGACTATGCCTCCATCACTAATAGGAATTAGTTTTGCATGCTGTCAAAGTTTCTCATGTTATTTTTATGCTTTTATCTACACTGCCATATTAGCTGTACTCTGTTCATTTTATTGCTATACGGTGAGATTATCCTTTGAATTCAATGTTACGTATTCTATTATGTATTTGAATGTTAGGATTATACTTGTCTGGAGCCATTATGAATAATATTTTACGAACAATTATATTGAACTCATGAAAAATAAAATCACAATTTTTAGGGTATAAACTAGAAGTTAAAATGCTAATCATGGAGTGTGGATATTTTAAACATTACTAGATTATATGTTTTTAATGAAATAAAATGTTCACTTAAAAGGAATTAGGAGGTGGCACCCTACAGACTCTGAGCTATCAATAACCTCCTACTTGAAAAGATAAAATTTTATACTCAACAGAATCTAAAGTAATAAGCTTTAAATAGGACACAATTATAAGATCATCATTTAGGCCTCCTTTTCATGTGATTCACATCCAGCTGATTCCAAAGGCAATGAGAGCTTTCCATGTGAAAGGACCTGCCGAATCAGAGCCAGTTAAGACACCAAGTGTACCACTGCTGGCTCATACAAGGGGTGTGCCTAAAGGTATTTCCAATTTAACATACAGTGTTCCGCAGTTAGTTTACCGAAACTGAGTGCAAACATGAACTTAGCAGATAGGCACTGCCATCAATTTCTGGGGAGTTCCTTGGCTCTCTTGTGGGTCTGCTGTGCCACTATTTTTCAGTGCATAGGAGACAGAGGCTTCATGTTACTGCTTTTTATAACCATGGCAGAAAGTAAAATATTTGGTACTTATGTGCTTAAAATTACTTGGCAAATGTATTCAGTTGCTAAAGTTTTAGACTGGTAGTGCCTGGTTTGAAACTCACCTTCAAACTGCAAGATTAGAAATAGAAAAAATTTCGTAAGTGACAATGTGCAATTTATTAACATGGGTATATTTTACACTCAAAAATGTAAATTTATCATAATCTGTGGTAAACAAATTTCCGTGTGTACTTAAAGCTATACCAAATTTTTAAGCTGACCAGAGCCCTTTAGTTATTCCTCCACCCCTGAAAGCACTCGATATTTTGCCTGTGTCTATGTTTGTCCAGACTAGAGTACCAAATCCTAGAGAGAAGATGATCCACACTCACTACTCTGCCCAACACATACAGGAAACTGAGCTTCACCAGTTGAGTATGGCAAATGCTGACGGGACTGGAAAGAACTTTTTTTTTGTTTGTTTTTCTTCTATCTTTGTAAAATTTTTATTACAGTATAGATTTAATTTCTGCAGAGCTCAATGTATTGTTCAACACGTCCCTTAGCCCTTCTTGAAACTGACTGCAGAAGGAATTCACAAAGTGAAGGCCTAGCGAGGCAGGAGAATAGTGAGCACCTTTTCTGTCTTCAGTACTGCAGTACTTGTAATGAGAGGACTAGAGGACATGAGAAAAGTTAGGGAGACAACTGCCTCTGGATAGCGTTACTGATGCTGCTGCTCAAAGCTCTGCGCTGTCTTCTTTCAGGTGAGGAAGAGGGCAGAAAGGGGAATTACCTGCAGAAATTCTGTGACCTTCATTTAGTATTTGTGCTGGAAAAAAAAGCAAACACCTCTGCGCTCCAGAGATGTTCTTCTACATCACAGCAGGAGGCCCTGGACAACTCTGGCCAGACATTATGACATTGTGTTTCTGTATTAGGGCTCATCTAGATTCTCCAGACTTTTCTTACTGTTTGGTTAAAGCTATGAAATTTCCCCTAAAACCTAATGGCTACTTTGGTCCCTGGAGGAGCTATGACTGAAAAACTTACAGGCTGTCATCACTAAAAGTCCTCTTTTTCTGGAATAGGGATGAATTTCCAAAAGAATTTTCTTTGCTGCGCTATCAGAATTTCTTAAGAGTCCAAAGCACTTGGTATATGCAGTTATACAGTAAGGAACCAAAGTCATGTTCTGCACCTGGCCTATGCTGTGAAAAAGACAACCAGGTATGATATATGGGCCTGATATATTTTTAAATATATGTAAGACTCTGGACTGTCTCAGTTTATACTTTAAAAATGACCCCTGACATAACAAAGTAACTTCTGGCGTCTTCCCTATGTAGATTTCAATGGTAGGAAAAAATACCCCTTAAGTTTGGCAATATGGAAAAACCCACTGTCACCCATTTGATACGGAAAACTTACTCTTTTCAATTTAGCAGCAGCCTCTCCAGAACGGATTGCAGTCAGCAAACTCTGTCGGATCTGTTCTGGGTCAGAGCTTTGGAATGTTAAGGAACTTTGTCTCTTAAGAGTGAATGATGGGCAGTCAGTTGGAGTTGGCATTTTAGAATTCTGTTCATTATGTGCAGAGTTATTTTGCTACAAAAATAAATGCAAAATATTTATATGAATTCCATGAGAAGAATGGGCCATTTTTTTGCAAAACATTTTCATCATCCATACTTCTTTAAGAATCAGCATTTGCCACACTGGTGATTTAGACACAAGCTGTATTTCCTCACTCACTGAATTAGCCCTCTGCCAAAGCTGGGCTGGAAGACGTGGGCACTACTTTTTTTCCCCTTGAACTTAGAAGGCTAATGAGAAAAGGCAATGCCTCAGTTTGGTTCAGGAATACAGTGTTAATTTTACTGTGCTTGAGTCAAATAATGTGGACTTTGCCAATATATGAAGTTGGCTAGAAAAAGCCAAATTAATCAAAAAATTCCACAAACCTAAAAGTAACCCATTTTCTTGGTTCCAACATATTATCCTGGGAAATTACTATGTTTGCATGTCACAGGACAGTCAAATATTAACAATTTAATACAGGTTGTAGCTAATATGTCTCCTAATAAAGGAAAGTTAATTATTTTGCTGCAGGTAGTAGCGTACGTGGGGTTTCAGGAAGCATAGGGACATACATGTACTGACCAGGTTTTATTTTCCCCATGAGGCTAAAATAAATATTAAGAATTTCCAAATTGAAGAATCAAAAATCTGAACATTATAGGAGTATGATTTAGTAATCGATTTTACTAGCAGATGTTAATCAAGTAATCAAAACAATTGCTTTCTCAAACTGCCAAGTACCTATCTTTTTAAAAAATGAGCTAAATAGCGCTTAGGCAGTGACTCAGAACTGTATTATCTAAATCAAAGTTCCACGGTTTAGGAATGGTATTCCACTTTAAGAAAAAAATACAGGCTTTATTCCTAAGAATTAATCTCTATATCATATATCACTCCCTGACGCTATACCAAAATAATAAACATAAATGTAAACTATATGAAGAGATTCGTCAAGATAAATATTTCTTTAAAGTTATAAAAAATATTTACTTGGCAGTATAGTGAATGATCTTTTACACCAGCAATGTTTGAAACTGTAGTGTAAAATACTTCTGGAACTGTCTCACAATGTGAAAATATCTTTAAATATTATCAGTGTAAAAGTACCCAAAATATTTCTTAAAAATTGCATGTGATTATTGTGATTCATACCATGAATGTCATCCTCTTCTTTGACTATTTTATCTGAACCTTCCAAAATACAACACTGAGTTCACATTATCAATAACACATAAATTATTAAGGTTATTTAGTAGTCAGATGATGATCTGGTAAACATACAAATAACTGGAAAACTGATAAGAAATTAAGAAACAGGGAATTAAAAAATGACTTTTAAAACTACTTTTAGGACAACACACTTTCCAGGCCCTTTCTGTGCGTTTTAGACAAAAGCTTTCTTTCAATAAATTCTTTCTGCTCTTACCCTCCATCGTTCCTATAATTCATTCCTTGATTTTAGACAACATGAACTTGCCATTTTGGACATCTAGCAGGTTGGCAGTTTCATTCCCTTATCTCACCACTCTTCACTTTTACTTTCTTGAATAAATTTTGCCACTGCTTTTTTTGGGGAAAAAAAAAAAAAAAACAACCAAAAAAGCCTCCAAAACTACTTTCAGTTTAGATTAGTTACAAGGAACTAATGCTACGCTGTGGTTGAACGTATATAGTGGAAAATGCAGAGGCATGTTTGGAAACTTCAGTCTTTTATATTGCTTGTGTTTCATATAATGAAAACTTTTGCCATTATGTAGTACTATAAAATTAGAGGGGAAATTAAAGCAAACCAGAACCACCAAAACAGTTGAAAACAAACTAGCAAACCCCAGGTAGGTAAATACTTATAACTCTAAACTATGCAAATGTATAAAGAAACTTCAAAACACTTCATAATTATATAGTAATACACAGACGACTTTACAGTAATAATTAATCAAGTGATCTGAATAAAGGGACTGGACATGTTACCTATCCTGTCACTATAACAGCACGATATCCTACTAATATGAACTCAGAGTTATTAATACATGAACATACCAACATGCCCATTGTTCCTTATTTTAACCAGGTTCTGAGAGAATCTAAGTGCTCTTTTTCAAAAGGTACACTTACATTCTCTGTCGCATCAAGTCGTGGAACGTCAGGAAACTTGTTTACAGAGCCTGTCTTCCTGTCATCTGCACTGGCTGGAGGCTGGGCAGCTTCTTCCTCACTGGAGGGCTCCGTGTGCACCTTACTGAAAGACTGTGACCTTTTCACGACGGCAAGGGCAAATGGTGAAGAAGTGGAACTGGAGAATGGTCGGGGGGCGCCAAAAGTTTTCAGAGTCTTCAGATTTACTGCTGCTGGCTGAGGAGTGGGAAGAGGCACAGGCTTGGGTGCTATGGGGGGAGGAGCAGGCTTCTGGGTGAGGACGGCCTCGCCAGTGTGTCTAACATGGGGCAGGGGAGTACAGTGAGTTGTTTTACTTAAGGGAGAAAGAGTCTGCTCTGGAGAAGGCAGTGTGTCCTTGCCTGAGTCTCTATTTGGGAGTTCTTTGGGAGTAACGTTAGGTGCAGTGTGTGTGCTCTTGGCAGCTGCAGACGTGACATAATGGCCTGATGCTCTCTTTTGCATCTGCAAGAAAAAAGAATTTGGTTTGGCCTGGGGATTTGAAATCTGAGGTTTTATTTTTGACTCCAAAATATTGTTTATGTCTTCCAAAGTTGGCGCAAAAGGAGCCGTGCCAGTGTCTCCAGTCATCCTGGGAGGCTTTGGAGGCTTAGTCACTACCTCATCAGTAAAGCTCATAGCCCTGTGCAACTGCTGTGCTGCTCTCAAGCTGGGCTTGGGTGTGAGGCCTTGTTTGTGCTCCTCCACTGGGCCGTCAGAAGCAGCAGTGTTTTCTGTCTGGATGGAAGTTTCTTTCACATTCTCGTAAGCATGCTTTTTTCCTAAAGTATGTAACTTCTGATCATCTTTAAATACTACAGATTCTGACTCCCCGTCTTTCAGTATTTCCAGGGATTTGAGAGGCACTATTTTATAAGTCGTCATTCCAACTTTGGGTATATAATCTCTTGTAATTTCATTAGAAGGTTTTGGTTTGGCACTATAGTCCTGTCGGTAAAGTGGAGAGTTCTGTAGGTAAGAAACAGTTGAGTTTTTATCAATTCCATCTATGGGAGATGAAAGATCATCACTACCATAGGCATAGACTGGATCCTTTCTGGCAAGCCTATCTTCTGTATATACTGTTAGGGTACCCTGACTCCTCAATTTGCTTGTGGTATTTGCAGAATCTTGTAGAATTAAGGATGAATGTTGAGTTGACTTGTTATTTGAAGTTTGCACACTTTCATCAACTTTGAAGTCAGATAAATTACGATCTTGGTGGTTCCCATTCAAGCTGTTACAGGAAGGGGTGGTCTGAATTGCTGCATCTTGCATTTTTGTCTTTTCTGTTCTGTGTTGATTCAGTTTTTGGTCTGGCAGTGATGCTACCACTCCATGATTTTCCTTGGAACTTATAAAACTATCAGTTTCACACGCTCGACACTGTGGTAGTTTGTCAACTCTCATGTTTATGTCCTTATTTTTGGCTTCATCTACACAGATTTCTGTTTTTCTCACACTATTTTTCATCTTATCTTCTGTTTTTGTTGCAAGGATATTGGTTTCATTTTGAACTATTGAAAGAAGAAACGCTGTTAGTATATATTAAAAACTATAAAAATGCAGGTTTTTAATGTGTATCTTACCCAACCTATAACCAGTTTGAGTGTTACAGATAAATTTTAGCTCAACTGCTGCGGCCGTCCCAGGAGGAGAACCACCAGTGTCTCCTGAGATTTGTACCATGTTGGAATTTAGGGCGCTGGTAAACCAAGCAAGCAGCTCCCCTCCCTGATGAGCGGCTGTGGTGTGGCAGGCTGTGGCCCCTCTAGGAGGAGAACCACCAGTGTCTCCTGAGATTTGTACCATTGTTGGAACTTAGGGCGCAGGTAAACCAAGCAACCAGCTTGACTCCCTGCTAAGTGGTAGTGAGCCCACCAGTGCATGGGTTGAGAATCAAACATCTCCACTCCCCCACCACCACCCCATTAGCAAATTGGAGCCAGAGGTCTGAGCATTCCTTGGGAGGTTGACCACATGCAATATAGCAAATAAGGGGGATTTCCTTCTACCATCTCTTTGAAGGCAAATATTTTTATCACTGTTTTGCTTTATTCTGATTAATGTTATTGCTCTGTTCAATATTCTGTTTTACTAAGTTCTATAACGTTCTGTATTTCATTTTATTTTGCTATACCTGACTGAAAGAACAACTATTGTAAGATGTACTGTAGTACCTATTACTGTTATCCTGGTAACCTGCTGTGAGGTTCTGTACCAATTTCACTACACTGTCTAAATTGGCTTTGTTTCTCTTGTTCTGTTGTATTTTACTACCTTCAAAATAAATTTTTTTTTTCAAATTTAGCTCAACCATTATAAAAATGCAGGTATCAGCAGACAGAAAAAATAGTGCATGAAGACTTTAGTTAGGAACGCATTTAACTAGGGTGGCCACATGTTAGCTAACATGTTAATTTTGCACCTCTTTTTTTCATAGATATAAAAAGGTAAAAAAAAAAAAGAAAAAGAAAAGCATTTTGTAATATATACATATAAATAAGTTATATAACGATCTTTTAGGCTAGGCATTGCCCAGAACAAGTATGCCACAGAAATTCACTATTTTCCTCCTTACTGTAAAAACATCCTATTTCTTTTCTCTGTCAGTCAGTCAGTCTGTCTGTCTGTCTGTCTATCTGTATCAACAGAAGGTCTCCCTGTGTATTCCAGGCTGACCTTGGACCTATTATATGGCCCAAACTGGCCTCTAATTCACGACAGTCCTGCTTTGTCCTCCTCAGTGGAATTACAGGCAAGGGCCACCTCACTGGTAATATTTCTGTCATTTTTAAAGACAAAAAAGAAAAGCACTGAAAAATTCAGCAATTGTATTATTCCTCTTTCTTCCATTTAATCTTTCTTTTCTCTACCTCCTAGAGGAGTACATGTGTTTCAAAACTAACAATAAAACAATTCCAGCTAATGTCTTTTTTAACTAAAGATGGCAACAGAAAACATTACCTTTAAAATAATTTGAAGTAAAAGCAATCTATATTAATTATCTTATTGAGCGTTCTTGCTAGAGGGATTTTCTTTTAGAGGGATTTTCTTTCAGTAACAACATGGGTGATTTCATCAACATAAAAACAATCGTATTGGTTTTTATTTTTCTGTAGGAGCAAAAGATATCCCTAGTCTAATGTCAGAGCCCAAGAAGGACAGCTATCTCCCTTTTCCCTGAATGACTGTTCCCTCTGTTTCTAGTCAGGTCTCCTGTGAATCACTTGCCAGGGTCTTGGTTAACAAAGCATTAGCTTCCACTCAACAAGAAGATGGCAAAGATCTCAAATGAGAGACCTGGAATTATGTATCATGAATATGCACTACCTGTCTAGGACCTAACAAAGTGATTTCCATACCGTTCCCCCCATGAAGAACTGTTTCTCCTGTGTGACTAGTCCTCATCTTCAAAATCTTCAAAACCCTACTGGCCTCTCTTTTTAGATGTGGTAATATTTTATACAGAGTACAAGTCAGTTGCCTAATACAAGCATTTGGTAATGACAGCTGATATTCTGTATTGTTTGCACATTACCTATATAAATATATAATTTGAAATGCAATTTTAGTCCTTCCAAATGAAATGCAACTATTACCAGATCACGTATCATCTATTTGAGTGACTTAATTGGCAGTAACTAGTAATTTTTATGATTCAAAAATTAAGAATACATATCAGTAGGGAAACAGGGAAGAGGCAGGTTTCTGCTTCTGTTCCTAACTTGCTTGGTTCATAAGTATTTAATATTTATATGAAAAGCACGACTTTGAACACTATTATAAGAACAGAAGAATTTAACAAATGGTTTCTGGCAGTGGAAAATATGCCTAAATGTATTTCTTCCTCTCATTTATTTTTCATTTTCCAATGAATATAAGTGTTTCCAAGTTCACAAAATAGAAACAGTTTCCAAGCAAAGTAAATCAATTTAGAAATGTATTTAGATTAAATCCCCTTATAACAAAAACTAATTAATTTGTTTTTGGACTTCGAATTTCTGTTTTTTATATTTTCACCAGGTCACATTTAATTATTGTTTAACTCTGAATTTCTCAACAACATCCACAATGATTCCCACCAATTATGAAGACAGACAACCCAGAACAATTCCTGAACTGCTCAGCGACTCTGTCTTCATCCATGTCTGACAATGCTGCTTGGCCGGTTTCCTGCATTACTAGGCTGTTTTCCAAGGACGGAGAAAGCAGTTTTTTCATACTGTCCCCGTATTTCCCTATGCAAAACCAATACTGACATCTACTTCCTGACAAAAGGATGGGTTAAAAAAATGCACATGGTAGATGAAAAGGAAAACAGAAAACTTCTGGAATGATGAAGTTACTTATTTGCCTTATCAGCTAAAAGTTGACAAATCATTACACAGCATATGCAAATCAAACACTGTGTAAATGTACATGTAACACTAACTTGATGTCAAATTTCATTAAAAATTAATTTGGCTATTATTTAAAAATAAAGTAGCTTTTAAATGACTGCTCAAGAAGAATGCTGTTGTCATTACAGCTCTTTCTCAGTGTAGTGCAAAGTGGTACTAATCATGGAAATAAGAAACCAGAGACATCCACAGATGGCACACATATATATGACATTACAACTATCCCACTAAATTATATCCATTTTCTACGAATTTTATAACTTTATATATTAACATGGAAGACATGAACATCCATAAGCCACTGCCTTCATACTCCCTTGAAGCACACCACTGTGCCCTTCTTGAATTTTCTACTGTATACTGGTATTTTTAATTGAAATTTAATCTTAAGTATATATTTTAAGGATAGCTCAGTAGTGTGCTGGTGCTACTGGTGTTTCATACAAAGTATCAGATTAATTTCTCTGATCTAAAACTGCTTAATTCAGTTGAAGACTCAGGAATATAGAATTACACAGCTCCCAGTAAACAAGTAACAAAATAAATGGAATGGTAAGATTTGAATAGGAATGCGTGACATACTGTATGCAAAAATTATTTTCTATGCAAAGACATCATGATCACAAGGCAAATCATGAGAAAAATAAGGAACTGTCTTGATTTGAGGCTGTGAACTTGGAAACATTGGCGAATAAGGTTATATAATTAGACTATCTGGACCCTGAATATTGGTTAGACAAGTTTCATCCAAAGTGTAGCAACTGGATAAAGTAAAATAGGCTTGCACTAGAGTTAGAAGAAAAAAAGAAAAAGTCACAAATAGATGCATGCAGGATACAATTTTAAGATCCAAAGTTTAAGTTAGACAGACTCTAAGACTTAACAACATCCATGTACCCATGTACCTATGATAAATTAGACCACATTCTGAAATATTATTGCTTGAGTTCACATCCTGGAACCACTGCTTACTACTTGTAAGATTTAATATCTTTGTGGCTCAAGGATCTGTAAAATGAAACTAAAAATAACAGTACCTATAAATGAGTCAATCTACAGGACTAAACAAGTCAATGTGTTTTAAGAACAGTCTTTGGCACCTGACAGTTTATGACAGTGTTGGCTATTGGTATTTATATAACTCACCATTCTTTTCATTTGGGCTCAGTGACTGCAAATTTCTGACACCATCAGGTAACATATTTTCATTGCTTGAATCATACACAACACTGTGTGACCCTCTGGAAGACATAATACTATACATTATATACTATTCAAACACACAGTAAGAAAAGAGGCCATAATCTCCAAAGACAGATGGACGGAAATATTTATCTGCCAAATACTGGAAATGTAAGAGCAAAGAAAAAATACAACTGAGAGGAAATGCTGTTATCAAACATTAGGTTTCATATAGTGGTCCTATTCCAAAAAAAGAAAAAAAAAAGTAAGAGGGTTAGCAAAACAGGTATTTCCAAGCAGTGTCTTGATTTTGTTATTATCAGTTACTTATCTTTTAAAGAAAAAGGACATAAATGAAACATTTTAGACTTCCACCTGACCAACTCAACTATATAAGTCAGGATGTGGATTGACCTCACTGTTTTTTGTTTTATTTTTTTCTGGTGCCAGGAGAGTTTAATTTGCAGACAATCCCATGCAAATTCTGGTAAGCCTCTGATACAGACTTGTTTATTTAGCTTAGTTTATTTCACCTTTTCTTATGGAGCTGCATTTTTTCACACATCATAAAAGTGGTCTATAGTTTCAATTCCTAGGATCAAATGGAAAGTGCATGGTCTGCGCAGTAAGGGTGATCACATAATAGAGTGGTGATTTATCTTTGTACTCTAGTATGTGAAACTGTTTTCCTATACCATTCAGTGAAAATTCTTCAGGAGAATTTGGTAAAAATTGAAAATTAAGTGTTTCATTTAGGTCAAATAGGCAAAATACACAAGCAAATAATTTTAATGTTTGAGCTTGACAAGTTATGGGTGATCTGACATGTGGGTATTAGAACTGTTAAATTTTATTTTCTCTGAACACAACTGCCTGCACACAGGCACTTTATTAATAAACATACTGTGGTGGTAAGAGGTGGAATCTAAATGAAAGGGCCAACTTACATTTGTATTTAAAATGTCATATCTATACTTAAAAAGAATGATATTAACTAAGAAATCTGCCAACGTTCCTGGCACATAGACTACTTACTGTCCATCTGTGTTTCCAGCTTCTTGATTTTCTTCTTTGGAGTTTTGTGAAGCCTCTCCACTATCAGTGCCAAGGACTGAGTCAGGATCCTTCTTCAATGTGCTTATTATATCAGTAGATACAAAAGCAATGTCTGGTGACTTCAGAGAAATATTTTCAGCTTCATGTTTAGGCATCTCACTTAGTTCTTCCTTTTCATCTATCTCCTCAAGGCTATAATCCGAGCTTATTCCAGCTACAAAGAAATTCAGATATAGTTCTCAGTGTTAATTTTTTATTCATCCTACACAATCCTGGCAAGGAATTATCAGCTGAACTCTTTCAAAGCTGGTTCAAAATTGATAGGGGAATACCTTTCTAATGGTGAATGATCATGGTAACATATAACCACATTATCCCAGACTCATACAACTCTAGAAAACAATCTGTCATTATCCTAACTGTTACTCATGGAAGTTTAATTAATCCTACATACTTCAAGTTAAATATTTCACTTAAGAATATATATTCTGGGGGTTGGGGATTTAGCTCAGCGGCATAAGCGCCTGCCTTGTAAGCAGGCAGTTGTGAGTTCGATCCCTGGTACCGATAAAAATGAAAAAGACAAAAAAAGAATATATATTCTGGGGCTGGGGATTTAGCTCAGCAGCATAAGCGCCTGCCTTGCAAGTGTGTGGTCGTGAGTTCGATCCCTGGTACTGATAAAAAAGGAAAAAACAAAAACAAAAAAAAAAATTTAAAAAAGAATATATATTCTGTTACATGATTTTATACTTATGCAACCCAGTAATACAAATTACGCATAAATTAATTTTAAAATGCAAATTAGAAAAACATGAGATTTTTGTATCATCAACAAGTACACAACAAGTATAACAAGTCATTATCAGTATTGACAATACTTGAGAATTACTTGAGCCACTTTTGAAAATACTGAGGTTGATACTCTACTCCATAGTTATTAAATCATAATCTCTAAAGAGTAGGTCAAGAATTTTTCAGGTTAGCCTGGAAAGCACAAGATTATGAGTTCAATCCTCAAAACCAAAAAAAGAAAAATAAAAGAATTTTTAGGGTTCCATAGGTGATTCTAATGTACAACTAAGGTTAAGAATCATTGATATAGGAGCTGGGGATTTAGCTCAGCGGCATAAGCACCTGCCTTGCAAGCAGGCGGTCATGAGTTCGATCCTTGGTACCGATAAAAATGAAAAAGACAAAAAAAAAAAAAAAAAAAAAAAAAAAAGAATCATTGATATAAATGCTTAAAATAATTTAAAACACAAAAGTATTAAACAATAGAAGTTTCATTCCCAGTTTGATTCAACTTGAGGCAACTTCCTTAAACAATTATTTCCTGTACATTATCAGAAAGCATTATAAGCATTCATAAACAGATATCCACTCACATTTCATTTTGTTTATTTAATATAAACAGAAGCATACTATACCCAATGTTGTCTACTTAATTTTTTCCTTCACCCATATTAATAATTATGTGTAATTCTTTTCAATAACTGTGACAAATATTTTATTGTACAAAATGTTTGTCATTATTTCTTATTGTAAAGATAATCTTTAAAATTTCAAACAAACACTGAAGTTCTAGATTTTTGCTCAAATAAAATTAAACATTCTCCTTTGCACAACAGCATCTTAATGAAGTTCACATTTACCTCAAGGAGTGTGTGTATAAGATGATTTAGCATTAGGCCATTATAGTGATCAGTACATGTAAAAAATTTAATTAAAAGTTTAACAGATTTGAAACATTTAAAGTACTTAACAGGTATTTCTTTAATATTATCTCTAGTTATACAGGCAGACAAGAGTGTTATTTGTGCATTTTATGAAACAAATGTGGAGCTGGGCATCACGGTGTGTGCCTGTACTCCCAGCGAAGCAGGAGGCTAAGAAGGAATGACCATTCAGCTTCCAGGCTGAGGCCAGCTTGGGCAACACAGGACAGAGACAGAAAGAGAGGCGAGCAGGGAGGGAGGGTTATTTTAAAGGCATTTCACTGTTAAAATTACTCAGGGAAAATACTGAATTTAAATGAAATTTTGAAATGCACAAATTTTGGCAAATGTTTTATCATGGCATGTGAAACCTCACTGTGATGTCACTGCGTAGTGTCACAGGCCATGATATAATCTACTGCACCTATGTAGTAAGAATGTTATTTCCACAGTATGATACTGTGTAGTAACAAAAATGAAAGGCTATAATGATTTAGATGTAAATGTGTTTTATAAATGATTACGCAGAATATATTAAGTTCGTCTGGACATTACACTGAGGAAATGTTTAGAAAATTATTGGTCATTATGCTTATTCTTTCATGTCTATCACAAGTATTTTAGAGACACAATTTTTCTTTAAGGGCATACCCCTTACTGAGAAACCGGTCTCAATTAAGGTGCGAGTCATGAATTGCATCTTTGAAAAATCTTTTCAAATTATTCTTATAAAATTATAAGTTATAGATTGTATAACTTGGTAGTTACAAGAATCACATAAGAGTTCTTACACTCATTTTATAAAAAGTCTTAGAAAATGCAATGATTCTTTTAAAAAGAGGATTTTCATTCTGTTGTTTGACTAGCATATATTTTTCCCAGACTTAAAGGGAAAAAAATGAACTTTGCTTTGTATGTCTTGACCAAAATGTAGGATAACAGAAAGAAATGATGATAAAGGCTGTGAATAATCAGTTTTCATAAATGATGTATGATTACTACTGTATTTTAGTTTTGTAAGCTCCAAGAGCAAAATATTCATTTTCAAAAATAATGTCCAAAATCTGAAAGCATTTTTAGATCTACAACTTCTGAAGTATTGTTAAAGGTTATTTTAAAAAATTTGAAAATGCACTTAGTGACTTCACAAAATGCTACAGACTTTCAAAAATGTCTTTTACTTATGAAGTTATTAAAAGTTACAATTTAGGACTTTTTAAATACTTAATATAATTTTCCCAAGGATCACCAAACAGCAAAATTGCCCAATAATTATTATTCCTTTGTTAAAATATAATTATAGTACATTAATCCTATTCAAATACATTTTTTTGTTATTTGTTCATTCAAAAGATGCTCATTATGTCAGTGTTATTGCTAGATTGTTTTTCTTTCACTTTTAGAAAAGGAGACAATTTCTACTCAGTAAAATTCGCCATTTTTGGAGCACAGTTCTTTGAATTTTACTAGTATATACCGTATGCCTGTTACTATGTAACTACCACCACAATCAAGACACAGAAAAATCCCTGGTGCATTTCTCCATGCTTCCTTGTAATTGACCTCTTCCTCTAGTTCTAGCCTCTGGTAATTATTATCTCTATAGTTTTGCCTTGCAAAAATGTTATATGAATAAAAATACATGTGTCTAGCCAGTTGAGTCTGATTTCATCATTTGACGTAAGACATGAGAGAGTCTGTATGTAGATATTTGGCTCAGTGGTGTGTTCTTTTTTTGGTCTAGCTATCAGCATTGTGTTCCAGTATGGACAAGTCCAGTTTTTTTATCCATTCCTCAGGGACATTTGAGTTGTTTCTCATTTTTGACAACTGCAAATACAAACTCTCACACAGGTCTTTGTAGGTAAAAAATACCTAGAGGCAGTGCTGCTAGGTCATGCAGAAAATGATTATTTAAATTTCACTTAAAAAAAAACTCTGTCAAGGGCTGTGGATATAACATAATGATACAACACATGGTTAGCATGTATGACAGCCTGGGTTTAATCCCAGTCATAAACCTATCCAAAAATAAACAAACACAACAACTAAAAATACTGCCAAACTACTTTTCAAACCAGCCGTACAATTTCAGGTTCCCATAAGCAATTACAGTATACTAACTCTAAACTGCTGGTGTGAAGTGGCACAGGCTTTTTGTGAGTCACTGAAAAATTGGATACAATTATGATAAAATTCAAGTATTACACAAAGTTTGCTATGATGTAACAAAATAATTCAAAATTTTAAAATAGAAAACGCAACTGGGAACAGTATCATAGCCAACAGCCACATACAAACAAAGGATTATTTCAGTAAAAAATATATGTAAATATTCCTTAACACATATTTTAATATTGTAATGTAATATATTAAATTTAATATAATATTAAATATTTAAATATATAAATATATATTGTAATATCAAATATATTTTAAATTGTATATCATCAAGTTCAAACAGTTCCTTCAAAAAAGTAGAATATCATATAGAAAAGAAGGGGAAAGTCTTCAGAACCACTGATTTCATCAATCTTACACTATCACATTTCGTCAAATGATTAAGGGAAACACCATTCTACATAGAATTTTAAGAGAAAAGAGAAATGCATTTCTTTGGAAAACATTTTTTTATAGAATGGTTTAACGAGTAACAAGGTCTGTACTTCATGATGTCTTAATCTGCACAAAGCAAAGCACCAGCCAGAAAGGCCGGACCACCTACATGTCAAGGATGCCACAGCCGCCTCGGGGGTTCCAGGGCCCTCAGAGAGAGAAGATTCGTCAGGCAGTTTGGGCGTAGTGCACCGTTCCTGATGGAAGAGCCCAGGGCCAAGACAGCCTTCTGCCAAAGAAGTAGAGTCTGTAGAAATATCACTTAGACAGAAACGTTAAGGAAAGCAAAACCAAGAAGCACTGAGAAGAAATCAGACTTGTTAGCTCATAACCATCCATGCATTAAACAGGAAAAGCTAAAAAGAATAAAGGGAGAGAAACAGATACCAAAGTTTGAAGAGTATACACATTTTAAAGTATCTCAATCTAATTTCATTGCATATTTTAAGTTAACAATACTCCATGTACTTCTTTTAAAAACTAAGATAGTATCAAGTATCATTGATACTATTTTGAGAAAATCATTAGTCGTTACATAACAGTGATATTTTAAAGCACAAAAAAACTGAATAATTCTTAGTTAAAATTTCACACTCCTAAATATCAAATAAAAATTCAAAATTACAGCTTAGCTGCTCCTGTATCTTTCCAAATTTACAAATAAAAAAGTTAGGCAGCTACATTAAGTAACCTTCATACTTATCAAGTTATTCCCATGCTAAAGTAGTAGCAAGGTGATATCCTATTATACTACAACAATATTGGTCTATCATATTCTTTTTTATCTAACACTAAGTCTGTAGGTAAGAATTTTTTGTATGTATAAAACCTGAGTAACTTTCATTGCAAACAACTGCAAACATTGCAGTGTTAATTATTCAATTTTACTGGAATTTTATTTCTTTGAGGAGAATTCACAAGAATTAAATAATAGAAAGTATTTTCACAGTAACAAGTTTCTAATTATTAGAGCAGGATGCCTAATATGTTGAATTCATACTTGGAGTAGTTGGCCTAAAGAGATGCGCTTATATTTTAATGTAAGTTTACTTCTAAACACACCAAGGTACTTTCCAGTGATGTCATATTTTTTTTTCCTATTATCCTGTTTTGAAAACTGATGTCATATTTTTGGGGAGTGGGGGGAGAGGTTAATAAATGTCAACCTGACACTGCATAAAGAAAATGAGAGACCAAATAGGGAAATACTTAGGGTATAATTTCAGAATGAAATCTTCATTCTAATCTCAAATGCTACAGGGAGAAAGATAAGGAAAATGTTTCATCATATAAATATTGGGAAATGAAGCCAAAGAATCTGTATCTTTTTCATACATCGGACATTCTAATGATTCATTTCTCAATTGTCAAGAAAGCTCTCTCAATAATGACACATGGGGAAGTGGTGGCATCTTACCTGGGCTGGGGAGGCCCTCAGGAGAGGTTGCTTCTGAAATGCTGTCTGGGGAAACTCCATCTACTGCCTGCAGGACTAAAAGATGCAACACAACTTATACACAAGTCACAGTCATAGAGGAAACAAGTCCTGAAGGTTAATGTAGTTATTTGTATGTAACCCAAAAAGAAATGAGTCCTAACCTGGCTAGAAGCCATTTTACTATCTCTCCAGCTGTGAAATGACTCATGCTACTTAAGTTTCTAATTCTTTTTTTTTTTTTTTTGTCTTTTTCATTTTTATCGGTATCAGGGATCGAACTCAAGACTGCACACTTGCAAGGAAGGTGCTTATGCCGGTGCTAAATCCCCAGTCCCTTTAAGTTTCTAATTCTAAGTGTGGTAAATCCTGGAATGGCAGAATCTTTCTGAATCAATTTCCAAATTATAATATGATCATTTTAGAATAACGAACCGCACAACATCGTCATGCATTTTGTCAAAGGTTTTTAAAAAGTAGTTAAGAATGTAATAAATGACATTTAAAAAGCTTGAGTATTATCTAGTATCATTTCTCCTATCTACATCGAACAAAACACAATACAAATACACGGTAATGGGAAAAGTAACTTTACCTGTCGGATGGCCATTTTCAGTGCTTTGACGCAGCGGTATTTTGGTGGGTGGGGAAGGTGCTTTCCGCTTTGTCCTTTTCAGAGATAAATTCCCTTCAGATGTGCTGGAGAGCGGCAGTGAGCCCGTCCTCGCTCTACCTGCTTCACGGGGACTCTGTAGAGAACCAAAGGACCAAGCAATCTATGTGTAGAAACTACTTGTAAACCCTAGGAAGACATCTAACTTTACAACAGACACATCACATACCAAAATGGAGCATAACACTAATAAATTCAAAAAATATAATAACGATTCATTCAAAAACAGATTCATTCAGTCATGTTCCAAACCCAAGCTGTGGTATGGATATATAAAGAAAAATAAAATACAGGCATTTTCAAGACACGTAGGTTGGGAAGGGAGACTGACGTGCAAATAAGGAACCGCTGTGCGGAGGGCTAGTGAGGAATACAGTTAAAAGCTAGTTTCAAAGAAAAATCTGGAGACACTGTTGGATGCAAAGCAAGGGATGGGAGAGGGAAGAGTAATTGTATGTTAGCAGCCAGCTTGATTAGTCTCTCTCTTTGGCCTAGTTTATCAGTGAAAAACATCTCAAAAAATAGTATGTCTACTGATGGCAAGTCCTTTGATGTCACCAGGCACAAACAGTTAATGTTCCCACTCACAGCAGGTCAATGTCAGCAGACCCAAAGACAAGCCTGCCTCTCAGGAAGCTGGTTGATCCCGCCTGGCCAATTGCCGTATTATCTTTGCTCTTTATAATAAAACTGCTTTAAAGAGTTGTTTCCAGTTTGTATCTCCCATTTGGCTTTTCCCATTGAGTCTCTCCAGTTAAACTTTTCCCAACCTTTGATCTATTAAAACTTTTCGAAGCGACGTCACCAATGACCTTGCCCATAAATATACCAACAGGCCTTTCTCAGAACTCACTTCTGTGATCTGTTAACAGCATGAAAGACAGGCGATCACCCTTTAAAATCTTTATCTTGCTTCCAAGATACCACATTCTTTCTTGTCTAGGGATTCATACTTTCTGGACACTCAATTTTCTTTGTTTATTACTTTTTATCTCTTGACCAATGCTAATATCCTTCAGGGCAGAGTAATGGGATATAGTCTCCCTAGTATCTATGTTCACTGTCTTGGTGATCTATTCTCTTGCTTTTAAGTATTATTTCCATGCTTACAGACTCATGACTCCATCCTGGACCTCTGTTCTGATCGCCACTAAAGGTCTATAAGCAGTTTCACTTTAGAATGCCTAAAACTGAAATCACAACAACCCCATTCCCCAAAGATGTCATAGAAAAGAGCAAGTCATCTTTCCAACTGCCCTTATCTCCATGTCACAGTCCACACTGAGTCCATCATTTTGGCTCTGCTCTTAACAGACATCACCAATTCGGCTCAGTTCCTACAACACAGCCTCAATCATCAAACCCTCAAATGGTTCCCACTTGGCATGGAAAAAATCTTTAGAGTCGATGACCTGGTCTCTCTGATCTTCCTGCCACAGACTAGCTTGCTCTCTTACTGTTCTCCACTGTATCCGGAGAACCTCTATGTGGCGATGGCTACCTTGCTGTCCCTGAGTCTGGGAATTTTTTTTCTGATAACTCAATGTCTCACTCTTTCTTTTTTTCAGATTATTTCTCACATGCTGCCTTGCCCATGAGCTCCTCCCTGACTCCCAACAGTTCCTGTCCCCTTCCCAGCTTTAGTTTTGATTGGCACTTAATACCTTTCTAATGTTTTATATGTTTGGTTTATTTACTCATTTATTATCTGCTCCTATTAGAAATGACTGAAATGGAAGGGGCTTCCCCCTACTCTTTTGCTCATTGTTGTATTTCTAAAATGGCTCATGGAAGTTTCTCAATACTTGAGTAAATGAAAAATAAGATAACTGCACTCTTATTTGGTAAATAAGAGACCTTGATAAGACTGAACTAGGAATATGTATAATGCTTGGGCCACTCTAACCTTGCAAGGCAACATAAGTATATCTAGGGATTCAACAATTCATCAGAAATTTTCATTATGTCTTGCCACACACCAAGAAAAATTTGACAAATTTACTATTTCATAACTTTCTAACATTGCTGGCAGAGAAAAAAGGAAAGCTGCCCCAAAAGGAGAAACAAAATACTGTTTGTTATTATGACTGCTGCCAACTGTGTGAGATACTAAACAGGTCAGTTCACGGAGACAGTGGCGGGCGCTTGGCTAGAGAAACCTCTCACAAACCACTCCTCTTATAAGGTATACGACAAGAGAGCACCAAGGTGATCTCTTCAGAGGCCAAACTGTTGAAATTCCTCCATAGCAGCTGTCGAGGACTAAGCCCACCCTGCTCTCCCTAGTGGCACCACGGTATCCCAGAACCCTCCATAATCCAGCAAGAGAACAGCCAAAACCTGCTATCCAAAACCTAGTGTTAACTGAGTCACTAAAGTCTGTTCTGATCACTTTCATGGGGAGGATGTGAGGGTGGATCCTCAACGGACCTTTGAAAAATTCAAGAGAAAAGTCCCCGGCAACAAACAGCTCAGAAAGAAATGCAGAGAGCAATGAACATGTTTCAATATTTTTTTTGAGTAGAATATAAAAGTTAAATGTCCTTTTTACTGATCTGTGTTCTGAGACTTTTACAACTTTTCTTTTTATTCTTTCTTCTTTTTTTTTTTTGAGACAGAGTCTCACTAAGTAGTTCAGGCTGGCCTTGAACTCACTATGTAGCCCAGGTTGGCCTTGAACTCACGGCACTCCTGTGTCAGCCTCCCATGTACTCGCATTACAGGCATGTGCTACAATGCCTGGCTTCACCTGTTATAAAAGTAATAAATTTACACATCATTAGGACAAGGCCCAAAAATTCTAAAAAATTCATTTCCCTTTGTAAAAATATTTATCTAAAAACTAAACTTAGTAGATGTTATTTCTTGTTGACCCTACTTCTTCAAAGCCCTATTAAAGCAAAATACCTGTTGGAGACCTACTTTATAAGCAAGAATGCAGTGGGTAATCAATAAACAATTGCTGAATGCACCAGAAATGGCAACATTTGATTGTCCCCTCAGTTCTATGTTTCTTATGTTGACTGATTGCTTTCATGAGGTATATAACAAAAATATTTTCACCTTTAGGCCACATTTCTAAACACTATCATGTTTGGGTCTTTTTCATTACCTGAAAAAAGCAGCTGTGACACTAGTTTCCCAAGCTGCAGTCTGCTAGGAGTTAGACTATTAAATTTGGGGTATAATATAATAAAGCAGATAGCACAGAAATAAGAAAGGAGGAATTTTTACATGAAGATTCAGAAGTTCATGTATCCTAACCATAATGTGATGACAGCATACCCACAGACATATATTTATCAGTCTAGAAGTCTTAAAATAAGCTAGCATTTTTATACAGGATATTTTCTATGGGTAAGGAATTTTACACTTGTCAAAATAGATTTTGATAGAAATGCTAAAAGGTTTTCAATAACATTTATGAGGACAGTTGAGGGAACACACGTGGAAAGGGCACAGCTGTGGACATCTAAAGAAGCATATGTTCTTTCTATAATCTCAGTCTTTAAGATTCATCTCCTTATGCTGATGTTCAGATGTAAATATATGCACATTTCCAGAGCTGCAATTTTGATCAAAGATACCAAGAAAGAGGAGAGCAGGGGAGAACACTACCACCACAATGAGATAAGACCTGTCATAACTAGATTCCATGCTGTGATTAATAGTTAACTTATTAAATTTAATATAAATGTAATAACTATACAAGAGATGGTCTTAAGGCAGGAGTTTAGAATTAATAAGAACTGCAAGTTTAGATAATGGCAGATTAATGACAGAAACGTAAATTTTATTTTGAGATATAAATGGTATTATTTAGGGAAATAGCTTTCCATTGTTATAAAACAGAGAGGTAAGCAGTTTTCATAGTAAGACTTAGAAACAAACCTTATTCAGCTAAGGTATTGCTGAAGAAAGTTAATGTAATAAAAGTCAAACTTGGGGTTCTTTTCTGTTGTCTCAAATATCACTATACAGATGATATAAAGGAATCCCTCGGCCTAGGGGAAGAGATTCTCATCTATTGGGTGACTCCACAGGAAAAGGTGTGGGGGTGGATTTCAGTGAGAACACATCATTATTTCTTGGCTAGATTGTAGCCAAGAAAGCTGGTGTGAATTTGGAGTATACACAAAATACATACACTTATCACAGTTAGAAAGGCTCTAAATCCAAGAATATCTAATGTTAGAAAGCAGACACACTAAATAGTCAGTCATTAATACATGAGTTTCCACTTAGAATGTTAATAAACAAAGTCTGGTGAAGCTACTGCTGCCTAAACAGTAGCATTACCTGGGGAATTGAGGAAAATGATACTAATAATCCCTCAATAGTCTACTCTTAAATTAGCCACAGTGTTAAAAAGGGGAGTTTGTCTAACTGGAGGAAGGCACATAGAGGGTTTGCAGGTTGGCTGGTAGCCTACCACACAGTTACCAGATAAACAGGCTTTGCAGTAAACACCTGGGATCCAACCAAGAAATGTGCCATTTGTTGTCTCTGTGACCTACAGCCTTCTCATCAATGAGAAAGGAAAATGTATCTGTCAAAAAGGTTTGGGACACTTAATGTGGTTCTGTAAAACAGAACAGTGCCTAGCACACAACATATATGCCATAAACACTGACATCACCACATGACTTTTACCTATTTCTAGCATATATGAGTGTGTTCTGTAAATAAAGTAAGAAAATAGTTTTTTGGGTTAGAATAAAAGTGTGGACAGCCTGCTGTTTCTCTTTGGTGGCAGTAACAGTGAGAATTCTATCCTATAGGGATCAACTGCAGTTACAATCAGCCTTGAAACTCAATAGTGCTCACATTCAAACACCTCTGCTTGGCCCACTGCATAAGCGAAATACACTGCCTTGGGTGACTTCATCATACCAGGAAGGATTTTCATAAAAGTTAAATATTTAACACTACTTTGTGAAATCTTGGTGATAAGCACATGGGTGTGTATTTTAGTAAATAAATTTGAAATATTTCATAAGCTAATTTATTGTGAATTAAAAATAAAGAACTGCTTAGAATAGTCTTCAGCTTTTTCCACCAAGATACATTTCCTTT